CTCATCAGCTTTCATTAGCGTTTGTATTTTAATGTGTGGCCCAAGACGACTCTTCTTTCAGTGTGGCTCAGAGACACCAAAAAGTTCAGACACCCCTGTGAGTCTAGAAGAGCCACATAATCCATTTTAGGTAAGCAGTCTGCAACCAGCACAATGCCTCTCTGTTATCTCACACCCCATCTCCCTCCCCTGTGTTCAGGATCCTGAGCACCTACACCACTTTGAGGAAGATATTTTTGGACATGAAAGCAAAGGAACTCCTCCAAAGGTGAAATCTGCCCTGAGGATTTGTCTGGTTCCCTGGTCTCGCACTCCTGTCCACTTCCTCCCAAAGCACTGGCAATTTCCTTGTATCAGGAAAGACAGTAAGTGCAAGACAGCCTTCCAAACATACATCAGCCAACTGCAACCCATTTTAATGTCCCAGCCAACTCCGAGTAGTTTATGCCCAGCATTGGATATAACCTCCAGGACAGGAATCATTTTTTTTAATTTTTATTTTACTGATTATGCCATTACAGTTGTTCTATTCCCCACCTTCATTCCCCTCCACCCTGCACCCCCACCCCCACCACTCCCCCCCTTTAGTTTATGTCCATGTGTCTCAAGTTCTTTAGATTCTATATTTCCCATACTATTCTTGCCCCCCATCTATTTCTACCTGCCGTCTATGCTACTTATTTTCTGTACCTTCTCCCCCCTTCTCCTCCTCCTACTCCCCTGTTGCTAACCCTCCATGAGATCTTCATTTCTATGTTTCCCCTACTGATCTAGCTGTCCTCTTAGTTTGCTTTTGTTTTAGGTGTGGTTGTTAATAACTGTGAGTTTGCTGTCCTTTCACTGTTCATCTTTTTTATCTTCTTTTCCTTAGATAAGTCCCTTTAACATTTCATATAATAAGGGCTTGGTGAAGATGAACTTCTTGAATTTGATCTTATCTGAGAAGCACTTTATCTGCCCTTCCATTCTAAATGAAAGCTTTGCTGGATAGAGTGATCTTGGATGCAGGTCTTTGAATTTCATGGCTTGAAATACGTCTTTCCAGCCCCTTCTTGCCTGTAAGGTCTCTTTTGAGAAATCTGCTGACAGTCTGATGGGAATTCCTTTGTAGGTGACTGTCCCCTTATCTCTTGCTGCTTCTAGGATTCTCTCCTTCATTTTAATCTTGGCTAATGTAATGATGATGTGCCTTGGTGTGTGTCTTCTTGGGTCCAACTTCTTTGGGACTCTCTGAGCTTCCTGGATTTGTTGGAAGTCTATTGCCTTTGCCAGATTGGGGAAATTCTCCTTTATTATTTGTTCAAATAAGTTTTCCACTGGTGGCTGTTCCTTTCCCCCTTCTGGTACCCCTATAATCCAGATATTGGAGGGTTTAGAGATGTCCTGGAGGTTCCTAAGCCTCTCTTCATTTTTTTTTTGAATTCTTGTTTCTTCATATTTTCCTGTTTGGCCATTTTTTTTTCTTCCTTCTGGTTCACTCCCTTGATTTGAGTCCCAGTTTCCTTTTCATCACTATTGGTTTCCTGTGCGATTCTCTTCATTTCAATTAGTTTAGCCTTCATATGTTTCTCTAATTTGTGACTAAAATCAACCAATTCTGTGAGCATCCTGATCACCAGTGTTTTGAACTGTGCATCTGAAAGTTTTGCTATTTCTTCATCATGTATAGTTATGGGCTCTGGGGCTTTGAGATCTTCTTGAGCCATTTTTGGTCTGTTGGCATGAGTTAAGTATGAGGAGCGGAGCCTCAGGTGTTCACCAGGGAGGGGCACCCAAGTCGCTGGGTTGTGATGCTGTATATGGGGGTGGGGTCAGAGCAGGGAAATGGTAGCCCCCTCTGCTACCTTTCACTGCTGGGGCCTGCTCGGTCCCGTCTCACTGCCCAGTCCCTCACTGGTCTATCTGCACACAAATGCACGACCACAGTCAACCGACCGCCCTGCGCCCTCACTGGGTCTGCCAGTCAGTCCCTGGGTCGCTCACTGTGTCTCTCACTGGGTCCACCCGTCGCAACCCCACACCTGGGATCCACACCCCTGAGTCCCTCTGACCGAGTTTTCCTTTGCAACCCCGCTCCACCAGCTGCTGGCTTTGCCCCTCTTACCGGTCAGGATGAAGAATTTGTTGTTATCAGACTTCCGAAAAGTTCAATTTTCCGTGTTCTGTCTGTGTTTTCTGTTGCTAATATTTTGTTGTCCCTAAACTTGGTTGTGTGAGAAAGCACGGCGTCTCCACCTATGCCTCCATCTTGGCGGAAGTCCGACACGAGTCATTTCTTATGTACAATACCACAATATTTCTTTCAAACTGATCTTATATGATTTTACAGTTAGGGTGGTACTATTCTGTTAGCAGTGACACCAAGTGTAAGACAATTACTAGTAATGAGTGTTAGATATTATAATCATTATGTACTAAACATCTGAACAGGCAGGCAAGTACCCTAACCTGGAAGTCAGAATTCTAGGAGCCACTTAGGCACACACATTTCAAAACTTCTTCAACTTAAAAGTATTGTGGCCAATCAGCCCCAGTTCCAACCAACAGAGGCAATGGGCAAAGTGGTAGGTAACTAAGATTTTGTGATGACTCCAGTGGCCCTGGGAAGCCTATAATATTGAGAAATCTGCAACATTAATTAGGATGAGTGTGAGATCCACCCAAGTACTTTTGCACCATTCCAGATGTCTTTTATGGTCCATCCAAAGCAGTAAGTGTGGTCTTATGGCAACTCCCATTTCACATCCCAGTTCTAGAAGAAACTGTTTACAGTACTCCATATCTATTTAGCCCCCAAAACCATATGAAGCATGGCATTGTATCAACTAGGTGGATGAATACCATCTACCATCAAAATTATGGATTCTACTACCTCACCACTATGGAGTTTGCTTATAAAGAGCTCATTGCATCCCTCTACCCAAAACATGCCCTTTCACAGAGTCTGTGGCATGATTCTTTTACCTCCCCCTCCCCACACTGCACCCTAGGCAGCTTCCAATCCTGGAAGTTTGGGGAAGCTACAATTACCAAAAATTATCTTTTATCCTGCCAAAAACAGACGTGAAGAGTGTATCAACCAGTGCTTGATTCAGAAGGAAGGCATCGAGTGGATAACATTGTCCAGCACGCCTCCAAGCACACAATAATGATCCACACGGAAAGCTGGGAAGCTATTATTTGGAAAATGATTAAATAATAGAGAAGATTATCTGGCTGTACCCTTAAGGACAATCAATCTGAGGCCAAATGAAGAGCCCCCACTGTTATATGCACTCATACCAATAGTTACTCACAGTCCAGATCCCATTGCCCTCAGTCCACATCTACTGAGCCACGGACATTCTACCACCTGTTACTTGCCCAAAGTCAAACCACCAAACTCAAATTACACTGGTTCCAGGAACTAGCCCCTCTCATTGCTGTAACCTGTGATGAAGCACAGATCAGCCCCCTGGTTCAGTGCAGGCTTCCAGAACTCTATACTCTGCTGCCTCTCCAAGTCCTCAACTGTCTGTAGAGGAAGGTGATTCAAACCGTGTCCCACTCTGGCAGTGTCATTATCTCAGGGAATACTAAAGGAGACTTCCATAGGAATGCAAAAGGGAGGGAAGAGGGACAGAGGGAGTGGGGCCAAGCAAGAAGAGGGGAAAAGCTGAGGCTGGGGAAGAACTCTAGAAAGGATGAGGCATCCCCACCCTCCAACAGAGGTGAGGCAGCAGTTCAACAATTTCCAGAGAGAAAGCCTAACTTTCATCCAGTTACTGACAGCTCAGGATTCAGAGGTATAAGCCAAATCCTATTTAAGCAGAACATGACTGTATTAAAAGAATATTAGTGGGATTTTATCAAACTAAAAAGTTTCTGCACAGCAAATGGAACAACAATGAAAATACAACCTGCGGATGAGAGAGAACATGTGCAAACCATACATTTGATAAAAGGTTGATAACTGAAGTATATAAGAAACTCTTATAATTCAATGGCAAAAAAAAAAATCTGGTCAAAAAATGGGCAAATGAACTGAAAAGACATTTCTCCAAAGAAGATATACAAATGGCCAACAGGCATTTTAAATGATACCCAACATGATTAATCATCAGGAAAATGCAAATTGAAAACAGTGAGATAACACCTCAAACATGTTAAAAGGGGTTATTTTAAAAAATAGAACAAGATAAGTGTTGGTGAAGTGGAGAAAAGGAAACCCTCATGTATTGTTGGTGGAAATGTGAATTGGTACAGCCAATATGGAAAACAGAATGGAAGTTCCCCCCAAAATTAAAAACAGAACTACCATATGATCCAGCAGTTCCATTTCTGGATATATATCCAAAGGAATTGAGATCCAGATCCCAAATTGGTATCTCACATCCATGTTCATTGCAGCATTATTCACAATACCCCAGACATGGAGGCAACATAAATGTCTATAATGCATGGGTAGATAAAGAAAATGTGGTATATGTACACAGTGGAAATCCTACCCTTTGCCATAACATGGAAGAACTTGGAAGACATTATGTTGAGTGAAATAAGCCAGACACAGAAGGATAAATACTACATGATACCACTTATAGAAGGACCTAAAATAATCAAACCCACAGGAGCAGAGAATAGAATGGTGGCAAGGGGAAAGAACAAAGGTGGAGACAGTAGTGAAAGAGTACAAGTTTCAGTTATACAAGGTGAGTCTGGAGATCTACTCTGCAGCATAGAGCCTATACTTACACTTAACACTGTATTACATACTTAAAAATTTGCTAAGAGGGTAAATCTTGTCAAATTCTCGTATCACAAAATAGTAACAACAATAAAGAGGGTGGGAGGCAATATCTCAAAGGGATGGATATGTTTATGGTATACATTGTAGTGACGGTTTCACAGTTGGGTACTTATCTCCAAACTCATTAAGCTGTATTTACTAAATGTGTACAACTTTTTATATCAATTATACAGTAAAGTAGTTTAGCTGTAGAAGGAACCACCAACCAAGCTTCATGGATGGTAACCGAAAACATTGTTGAGAATCACGCTACAGACCTGGTTGGGCACAGACACTGCTGTGTTCAGCGCTGGGGCAGGCACTGCTGGCATTAAAGACACTGGGCCCTGCAGACTGCTCCTAGACACAAGTACAGCTTCGCTGCTGCAACTTCCCATCAACAGAAAAACAACATTTACATGTCCCTGCTTCTTTGCGATCTCATCTTTGATTCAAAAGCTGGAATAGGTGTCTTTAATTGCCCTGGTCAAACTCTTTGGCCATGCCCTAGCTGCAAGAGAGGCAAAGGCCCTGGCTGATGTAGCTCAGTGGATTTAGCGCAGGTCTGTGAACTAAGGGATTGTGGTTCGATTCCCAGTTGGGGCACATGTCTGGGCTGCAGGCTAGTTCGCAGTGGGGAGCACATGAGAGACAACCATACGTTGATATTTCTCTCCCTTTCTTCTTCCCTTCCCCTCTAAAGATAAATAAAATCTTTTTTTTAAGAGAGAGGCTAAGTATATTAGTCCAGCAATTTTCAACATTTTTCATCTGATGGCACATATAAAATAAACTAATAACTAAAATTCTGTGGCACACACAAAAAATAATAATTTGCCAATCTGAAAAAAAGGTATAATTTTGATTCATTCACACCAGACAGTTGGTGTTATGTTGGTTGTTGTCATTCTTTATTTGACAGTCCAAGGGAAAAGAGGTCAGGGCCCCTAACTAGTCAGGTATTGCATGTTTTAAAAATTCGTGCAGCTCACTGGTTGAAATTTGCTGCCTTAGTCTGCCAACATAGATTGGGTGGCTTACAAACAAGAGAAATCTGTCACAGTTCAAGCAGCTGAAGTCCACGATCAGGGTGGCAGCATGGTCGGGTGAGGGCCCTCTTCTAGGGTCACAGATTTCTCTTTGTGCCCTCACATTGAGGAAGGCATGAGGGAGCTCTCCCAGGCATCTTTTATTTTTAGTTGAATTTATTGGGTGACACTGGTTAATAAAATTACATAGGTTTCAGGTGTACAGTTCCATAACACAGCACCTGTATACTGCATTGTATGTTCGCCTCCTCAAGTCCAAGTCTCCTCCCCTCACCACTTATTCCCCCGTAGCCTCTTCTACGTTCCCTCACCACTCTTCCCCTCTGGTGATCACTATGCTGTTGTCTGTGTGTCTGTGTCTACGAATTTGCCTTTTTTTTTTTTTTTTTTTTTTGCTTAATCACCTCATTTTTTCCATCCAGTCCCACAACTCCCCCTCCCCTGACAGCTGTCAGTCTGTTCTTTAACTATGAGTGTTTTTCTGGTTTTTTAGTTCATTTTGTTCATTATAGTCCACATATGAGTGAAATCATATAGTACTTATCTTTCTCTCACTGGCTTATTTCACTCAGCATATTGCTCTCCAGGTCCAACCACACTGTCACAAAGGGTAAGATTTCCTTCTATTTTTAGGCTCTTAGGACTCTTTAACTTTTCATTATTGTTGTTATTTTAATCCTCACCCAAGGACATACTTATTGATTTTAGAGCATAGGGAATGGAGGAGGGAGAGAAACATCAATTGGTTGCCTCTTATAATACACCCCAACAGGGGACCAAGGATGGACCTGCATGCTAGGAATGTGCCCTGAACTGGAATCAAGCCCACAACCTTTCGGTTTACAGGACAACACTCCAACCAACTGAGCCACACAGGGCCAGGACTCAGGCCTCTTTTGTAAGGGCACTAGCCCCAGTGCTGAGTGCTCTGCCATCATGACTTAATCACCTCCCAAAGCCCCCACTTCCAAATACCATCACCTTAGGCATTATGTTTTCAACATATGAATTTGGGGGAGGACATAAACATTCAGACCATAGCACTGGGTAAGGAAGATTTGGTCTTTGCAGCCTAGATCTGGTTTTGTCTCAGAAGGATTCCCAAACCCTCATAAGAACACTAGATCTACACTGTACTACTCTGCCCTGCCACATGCTGCCCTGCCCTGCTTTGCACTATGCCCATCCCCTGTCCCTTTCCACTTTACCCAGCACTAGTCAGGCTCCAAATCCATAGCAAGCTGAGTCCTCCCTAGTGCTTCTAACACTTGCTATCTTGCTGCCTGAATTGCTCTTCCTGATACTACCAGGTCCCATGTACTTAACATCCAAGACTCAGCTCAAATAACTTCCCCTATTGGACCAATAAAAGCTCTGCAAATATGCCAATCCCAGAAAAAGAGTGTCTACCCAGATAAAGTGCCTTTTTCTTTTTGGGGGGGCCTGCACTGATCCTAAGTATCTATGTATTGATACCAGCAGGAGGTCACTCAAAACCCAGAAGTCACTGACAAATAAGAGTGGTAAAGAAAGGTTTCTTGATCAGTGGGTTCTCCCTCCCTCCCCCCTCTCTGTCACAGGCATTGTGATTTCACTCCTGAGATCCCAAGAATCGAGAATCAGACTTGAGTGGCGAGGAGAGATCCCTGCCATATGCTGGGTAGTCAGGAACACTAGAGACTCAGAGGATCACACAGACCCATTTGACAAGTACTCAGTTCAAGTTTGCTGTCATTTCAGACCAGAAGGAACGGGTGCCCACGACGCTTCCCCCAATTAACTCAGAAGATGGGAATTACTCTGTGCACAAGAATAGCCACACAAGGTACCACAGAGCTGTACAGAAGGTGTTGTTAAAGACATGTAAGTATCTTTGACTGGGTCACGTCTGAGTTCCTAAGTAATGGCTGGGATGAGGTAGGGCATGGTTTTGGAACAGGAAAAAAAGAGCCAAGAAAAGAGACTGAGAAGACAAGGGAGAAAGTAGATCTGAGGTGGCAGAGTGAGCAAGATAACAGTTGAATCAGACTTTATCTTTATCTCAGACAAAATCCATGTTTGAGTCCTAGTCCTGCCTCTTTGAAACGTCACTTATCCTTAATTAACCTGCTTCCTCATCCACTAAAAACAAAAAACAAAAAACAAACAAGCTCTGGCCTGGTAGCTCCATTGGTCAGAGCATCGTCCTGATAGGCCAAGGTTGCTGGTTCAATGGCCGGTCACAGCACATAGAAGAAGCAACCAATGAGTGCATAAATAAATGGAACAAATCAATGTTTTTATCTCTCTCCCCCTCTCTCCTTTCCTCCCTTTCTCTCTCTGACTCTAAAATAAATTTTTTAAATGATAAAAAAAAGAAACAGAAAATGCCTGCTCTTCCAATCTTACAGAATCGCTATGTGTATCAAACTAAAAATGAGACAACTTAGGGAAGCACTTGTATATTATTTTTCTATTTAATTATTTTTCAAGTACAGTTTTCTGCCTTTTACTCCCTTCCCAGCCCCCCCTTTCCACCTTCCCTTAGCTGTTGTCCATGTGTCCTCTATACTAGTTCCTCTAAATCCCTCCCCTTTTTCCCCTGAAATTCCCTCCCCTCTCCCCTCTGGTTGCTGTCCCCCTGTTCTCTATTTCAGTGTCTTTGTTTTTATTTTGCTTGCTTGTTTGTTTTGTTGTTTAGCTTCCTGTTAAAGGTGAGATCATATGGTATTTGTCTTTCACCACCTGACTTATTTCACTCAGCATGTTTTCCAGTTCCATCCATGCTGTTGCAAAGGGTAGGAGCTCTTTCTTTCTGCTGCATAGAATTCCATTGTGTATATGTACCACAACTTTTTGATCCATTCATATACTGATGGGCACCTAGGTTGCTTCTAGCTCTTGGCTATTGTAGCACATGTATATTATTATGTTATGCCTGTGAGGAGTGGTACCAAGTACTAGCTTCGAAATTTAAACTGAGTTTAAGTTCCAAACAAGCCATGTGACCTTAGGAAAGTTCCTTTAAACACTTATTGCTGTGGACCATCCAGAAAAGGGAATAATGCTCTAGCATTGCATGAAAGTTAGAGAAAATGTACATTTAAAAAAGCATCTGGGACAAACTACTGACAGATGTGATAACTTGTAGGAATCTCCAGGAATTATGCTATATAAAGAAAGCCAATCTCTAAAAGATCACATACTGAATGGTGCTGATTATATAGCATTTCTTTTCTTTCTTTTTTTTAAATATGGAATGCTTCATAGATTTGTGTGTCATCCATGCTAATCATCTCTGTAGTGTTCCAACTTCAGTTTATGTGCTGCCAAAACAAGCACTATAATATTCTCAAGAAAACAAAATTATAGAAATGAAGAAATGATTATAGATTACCAAGCGCAGGTATAGGGGATAGAGGGAGTAGCTATAAAAGGGCAACTCCAGGGTCATGTAGTGACGGGGCTATTCCCTATCGATATGTTAATACACGGTGGTAATTATGTGCAGTGGTTTTCCAGGATGTTACCACTGGGAGGAAATGGGTGAGGCTACACAAGATCTCTGTGCACCATAGAACAACTATATGTGCATCTATAATTATCGCAAAATTAGTTTAATTTAAAAACTAAAATACTTTCAGAAATTGAAGACATACATGAAGGAGTACTAAGAGTTATTTCTAATAACAAAACTTTTTAAAAGCTTGTTACTGATTAATAGGAAAATGACTAAGTCAAAAATGGTATATTAGGGATTTTTTAAATGTTGATTTTAGATGCCAAATGCCCAGATTATGAGGCTTCAATTCTAAATTTTGTAAATATGGAAATTTTATACAGTGGTATAGTTAGATTTATCCAAATAAATAGTGAAAGTACAAAAAATCTAAGTAAGTCTGACATTCTTTCAAAATTTTAAAAACACCTCTCATACAACATTTAGAACATGATAGATACTTGGTAAATGGTATCTAGGAGTGTTAAGTAAACGTGAGGTGGTACGTTTGCTAAGTTTCAGGGATTTGACTGAACACAGGAGGGAACTATTTCACAGAGAAGGGCCATGAATGAGGATAATTAAGCCTTAAAGAAATAAAGAACCTGGGGACCCATCTTGCACATTTGCCAAGCTGAGCTGACTGCTTCTGTTCCACAATCTCAGCCCCTGGGGAAGGCGACCCTAGTAGCAGCAGGAAGAACCAAAACAGATTCAACTGACCACGAAGGGCGAGATGCTGGAATCCGGAAGTGAAGCTGGGTGTGGTGACCGAATTCCTAGGACTTTTCAGCACCTAGTCGGGCCCAGTTGCTAGGCTGGGCTCTTGCTGCCCTGAGGCACAAAAGGGAGAGAACTAAAAGAAACTGGATAACCTGTTCTTCCCAAAAACTTTCAGTCCCCAATCAAGTCTTCAGAGTACCCTTGACTGATGCTCAGAACTTCAGCTTCTGGAGGTCACATGATCCAGGAGAGCGCCCAGAAGACACCATGCCCTGGATCCGGGGCCCTCACCACTGCCTCATTAAAAGCCCGATGACCAGGTTAGGCTTTCAGCGGTGAGGTGGGGAGACCAAGGGAAGTACTCCCTCCCCCCACTTAAATCCTCACAGACCATTTCATCTGTATGCAGAGGTAGTGAATAGAAGAGGTGGTTTGGGTCTTGGCAGGGAAAGCTGGCCTCAGTATTTGGGCAGTGGTGGTGTTCAAAGGAGTTAAAGATTTGTCTGTGTCTTTGTGCTTCCCCTTGTGGACAGGATTTCTGGGCAGGCACGAGTGTCTATGGCATTCCCGTGGGGTCCGGGCAGTGTCTGGTCCCTTCCTTGCTGCCTGCCCTCCCTCCAGCCACCATCCATGGGCAGTAGCCCTACTTCCTCAATACCACCCCTGCCCGTTGGGCACTGAGGCAGTCTTGGGAGCTGTGGGTAAGGACCCCACCACACGCACATGCATGCACGCACACATCCCAGCCTGGCCTGGCTGAATCTGAGGCCTTCTCTCTTTCAGGTTTATGGAGTACTCGGTCCTCAATGACAGACTCTTCAGTCTGTACTGAGCAGGATATGTTTGCAGAAGGACATGATGGACTGTGACAGGAGGACAAAGAGGGGAAAGAGGAAGAAAGTGTCCTGGTTCTGATGGCTGACCAGTGCGGGGAGGGGACTGAAAGCGCAGAATAAAATTAGATGGGACTAGAAGTCACTTGTGTGCACTGACAATGAGGGGGAGAGAAATGATCCCAGTGCCCAAATTCCTGTGAGATCAGGTATGGGAGGGACTGCTGAAGCCGCCAGAACTTGGTGTTTGCTTTGGGACTGTAAAGACCACCACAGGGGCCCTAACCTTGTATGTGGAAGAGGTCAGAGCAACAAATCTGGGAACACACACTGATCTGCACAATGCTGAAGGGCCTAGAGCAGTTATGCTCTCTGAAGACACTTCGGTCTCCCCGAGGCAGGGAGAAAACCAAAGAGGCCCTCTGGCCACGGGTGAGGGGTCCACCGAGCCCTCAGGCAGGTGGCTGCCCCTACACCAGGCTCTGCCGACTCGGACCCAACCCAGGGCCCAGAACAGCTGCAGAGAACTAGGAATTTTACAAAGAGTTTGATTTTATTGATATTTAAATATATTAAATATTTTACTGAAATACATGTACATTACCCTCCCCATTCCCTCAGTGGTTACAGTATAAAACCAAGTCCCTGGGCCTCCCATCCACTGACTTCCCCACCAGCTGGTGAGTAAAGGGACAACGGAGCCCGGGTGAGGAGCATGGCTGGCACTGTGGTATGGGCAGCTGGGTGTGGACAGGCCCTTCCCACCTAGCAAGAGGCAGAGACAAGTCACCTGGATTGGGGCCCTCCTACCCTGGTGGCCTTATACCCTCACCCCACCCTGTGGCTCCAAGCAGTCCCTTCCTATGGAGGGATACGGCTGTGGGGCGGGAAGCGGACCTTCTGTCCGGACCCACTAGCCTTTCCCCTCCCTCCTGCCTTGTCTAGTGCAGCGCCTGAAGGCTCGTTTGGTTGGCACGTGGAGACTTCCGATCAGAAACCAGGCCTCTACAGGAGCTACAGTCAGAAAGGGCATGAGGAAGGACCAGAGCGCCACCTTCTCCCAACCCAGCAACTCTGGGACCTTCTTTCCTCTGTCTCTAATCACCTGCAAGACAAAGCAACCTTCAAGCAAAATTCAGGCTAATGACTCTGGCTTAAATAGGTACAGACAGAGAGAGAAACCAAGGCACCAGCTAATTCAGGCCAGAGGCAAGGAGGCTGCCAAGAAAAGGATAAAAAGAAGGCAAAGACAGGAAGGGAATCTAGAGTCCAGCCTCCTAACCTTCCTGCCGGCCCTTTTGGGCTTTATAGGGACTGAGGAGCCAGGAACATGCTAGACTCAGGCTGAAGATTGGGGAAGGCCAACTTTCAGGTTCCCCTTCCCCATCCCCTAGTACCAGTATCTGGGTCCTCAGAGGGACCCCATGCTACCCCTGTCCCAAAGCATACCACGTCCCAGGACACAAGCTGGGGAACCCAGGAAATCCCTGAACCTCAGCCCACCAGATCCCAGACAGTTCAGCCTTGGTCCCCACCCCAGGCAGGGACACAGTCATGCTGCACACATGACCCCCAAATGGCACTTAGGGATTTGGCACAAAAAGGACTCCTCTCCCCAGAAACCCCTCCTCTTGCTACAACACCGAATCCCACTGTTGTGCAACCTGGGCCTCTCTCTACATCCCTTGAAACCGGAAACCCTGCCTTTTCCCAGAAGACAGAGGCCCACAGGAGAGAGGCAGCCTGGGGTGGAGAGCTGAAGACCAGAAGCACAAGGACACACAGCCCCAGAAAACAGACATACCTGTAAAGACAAACACGCACACACACACTGCAGAGACACACAGGCCCTCCCCAGTACCAAAGGCTGGGGAGGACAGGTTTGGGGTCAGGTTTGTCCTCCTCCATGCCCTGGCCCTTTGCTAATTTGGCAATAAAAGGGGTAGGGATGCTCCACGTCCTGTGCCAGCAGACCACAAGAGAGCACTGGGGCAAAGTGACCAGATCCTGACCACCCTGGCCCTCAGGCCAGTCTTGTCCCACCCCTCTCCCTGGCCAGCCTGCTCTCTTTGGCACCTGCAGGTAAACTTCCAGCTCCTGGTCTGACAACTGCACACAAATGCCTGCTGTCTGGCTGGGCATTTTCACAGTACCAGTGAAGCCAGATGCCCCTTTCCCTGGCGCTTTGCAGGAACTGGGGCTAAATCTGAGCTGTTAGAAGTCCCTTCGTTCCCCTTTGGGGACAGATCCTGGGACTAGGATTTGGCAAATGGAAACATTCCCCTGAAATATGGGCAGAGCTGGGTCCCAGGCGCATCGCTCTCCTCTGCCCTGTGCCTAGGAGGGAGAGTTGGCTGGGGGGGGCGGCCCCAGGACCATGCTGGAGATTCAGGCATAGCAAAGGCAAGCATGGAATAGGCACTCTTCCCACCTACCCCAGTCTTTGTACAAAATATTCCCAGGAAAGAGGGAAAGTGAGGGCCCAGCCCTGACCTGTCGCCCAGACAGACAAAGGGCAGGCGTGGCAGACTGCCATTCTCATCTTTCAGGCAGGAGGGCTCCCGCTGCCTTGCTGCTGCCCCCTCCCCTGCTCCCAAAAGCTGGAAGAGAGGAGAGGGAATAGCCCTGTTCCAATTTAAAAAGAAACTCACTGGCAAAAACCCTTTGGTAGCCCCTCGTTGTCCAGCCTGAGGGCAGATGAGCATGGCCCCAGCACAGCGGCCGGGGTGTTCCCTTTTGTGGTCAGCAGGGTCTTGAGGCTCAGTGTCCCTGCCACAAGCTCCGCCCAGCGAGCACAGAGTCCACTCAGATGTCCACCTTGGTCCCTTCAGCTAATTTGTAGCTGGGCCCTGTTAACTGCTGGGGCCCCCATTGAGGAAGTAGGTGGTCATCTCACCCTTGCCCTTCACCTTGACCACCCCTCGACACTCCAGCTGGTAGCCCTTGGCAGCTAGAACCTGGTACAGGTCTGTGGTCACCTAGGGGGTGGAAAGGGAGACTACTTAGCCTGAGATCCTTCCTGCTTTAGATGCTGGCTGCCCTCCCCCAACTCCCACCCAACCACAGCACACTGCCACCCTATCCCTGTCCTAACAACTGCAGAAAGAGACCTAGAGAAGCCCTCTGGACACGGACCTGTCCCAGTCTCCGCCCGCAGTCCCAGTCCCCTCACCTGGATCCGGTCAGGAACCCCAGTGCTGTCCATCCGGCTGGAGACGTTCACCGTGTTCCCCCAGATGTCATACTGTGGCTTCCGGGCCCCAATGACACCTGCCACCACCGGGCCCATGTTTAGTCCTGGGGTGGCAAGAGCAGTGAGACACTGAGATGGGGGGGTTGTCCCAGGGTCAGCCTAGGGAGTCACCCCACTGCTGGCCCCTTTAGAAGAACCCAGAAAAGAGAATGGCAAAGGGACAAGTGTGCAGGTTGTAAAGAATGGTCCTGTCACTTGAGGAGCTCCTGAGTTAAGACAGCTCTGCTGCTACAGTAGCGCACCTACTGAGTGCGCTCTGTGCCAACCACTCTGGTAAGTATTTCCATTAGCATTTTATCCTTGCAACAGCCATAAGAGATAGGTATCATCATCCCTATTTGCAGATAAGTCAAGTGAAACTAAGAGATGTCTGAAGACTTATTAACTAAGCCAGGAAGTGGAACATCCACAATTCAAACCAGTCTGATGCCATGAGCTGTGCCATTAACCACTCCCACCCGCAGTTCCCCTGAGGGGGGGAAGGGCCTCCGGTCAGACCAGTAGACAGGTCCCGCGGTTGACAGAAACCTGGCTATGACTCCCAGGGGCACCACTTCCCAGCTGCTCAGCCTCTGAGAGCAGGTGTTATCTGTAAAAGGGGATGCTGTAAGGACTGAAGTGTGCTCACAGATGTCTAGAACAGTGCCCTCGATGAATGACCTCCGTCCTTCATATCAAACAATACAGTGAGAGAAAGGAAACCCACAGGGTCCTGATGGGGAATGTGTGATGCTGTCCTCCTGCTCCCTTGGGAAACCCTCTAGGCCATGAGGCCCCTCACCAATCTTCATCTGGAAGTTGTTGAAGGAGTGCTCATTGATGTACTTCATCTGCTCCATGAGCCGCATGGCATAGTCAGCGAGGGCAGTGATGTGGGAGCGGCCCACCTGGTCGTAGGTGCTGGCGTTCAGCCCGGAGGCAGCCATGTAGGTGCTACCAATTGTCTTGATCTTCTCTAGCTGCCGGAATCGCTCCTCGCTGATGATCTGGACAGCACAGGGGACTCGGCTATCAAGGCGAAGAGGCCAAATCTGGCCCTGCCCCAGGGCTCAGTCCCTGCCATGCCCTGGCCCACCCACTCCCCACTTTCCTCTCTCAACAGCTAACTCCTTTCAGTGACAGCCTCCCTCCAGCTGCTGCTCTCAGTGCAGGCCTGAGGAGCCAGGACAACAGGCCTCCTTCACTGGGCCACCACTAGAAGCCAGGCCAGGGAGCGAGCAAACAGTGTCATGTGAACTCAACAGCTCACTCACAGAATCCAGAACCACGGAAGGGATAGCAAGCATTAGTGAGTCCAGCCCTCACCTTTCAGGAAACTGCGGCCAGTGGGAGGAAGTGCCTCCGGTCCGGAACAGTGGAAGGCCCATTCCTGGCCTGGGTGTTCAAGACACTTCCTTACATTTTGCTTCTATTTCCTCTACTCAAGGGGACCATGCTTACTTGGCCTCATGGTCACAGACGCTCACCTTCTCCTTCAGTGACCTTCACCTGGCACCTACCCTGACCCCTTCAGATCCTCTTGTTCTTCTCTGCTCCCCAACGATGACTACACAGCCCGCAGGGGGGCTCCCCTCCTTGCTACCTCCCTGCCTCCCCCACCGATCCCCTCCATTCCTGGCCTTCTCAGCCGAAGTTCTCCCCCCTCTGCCAGCACCAGCCAACTGGACAAGCACCTCGTCAAAGTCAGCGATGATCTCGTTGAGCAGCCGCAGGCACTCGACGCCCTCATTGTTTGCCTCCAGCTCCACATAGAACTCAGAGAAGTTGGCAATGGAGGCGAACATGACAGCCACACACTCACACGACTGATAGTAGAGCTCATCGTTCCGCCGCTCCCGGGCCAGAAAGTGGGCAGCCACATCCTTGGGCAGAATATTGTGCAGCAGCCGCCGGTTGTATGCCTGGAGCTCCTCCATCTCCTCCTTCTCCCCCGTTGCCTGCGGACACCACACCCGTCACCCACTGCCCAACACTCACAAGGGGTGGGGACAGCAACCAACGCCTAGAGAAGGGCATCAGGGGGAACCACGTGGAAGAAGAAAGGCATGGACAGAGGAGGCCTCAAGAACAAGCAAAGCAGTGAAGGGGGCTAGGACAGGGACAGAGACAAGGCACAGGGCCAGGGTGGGCTTGGGGCGGCCAGAGCCTTGGCCAGCTAACAAGATGCACTTCCAGCTAGCCCAGGGTCTGCTTCCAAAATCCTGCTTCCCTCCCCTGCACAACCAGTCACCTGGAGTTTCCAGAGGAAGTCGAGGCGGGCAGTCGATTCCACCTGCTGAGCATGCAGATACAGCGCCAGCGCAAACACCAGCAGAATCACAGGGGTCATGTATTTGAGTGCCACCCTCCCTGAAGCTGGGCTGCAGGTACGCAGAGGCACGCTCAGTGTCTGAAGGAGGCACTGGCAGCCCTGCCCTCCGCCGCCTCAGAGCCCTCACTCACCAGTCCAGCCCATCAAAGGTTTCATTGGAAGAAGCCCTGGCAGGAAGACACGAGAGACAACGTCATCAGTTCTGATACCGAGAGGGGGAGTGAGAGACAGAGACTGCACTTGCTGACCACATACTATAAACAGACACTGGGCCAGCGCTTTGCTCGTATTCACTCACTAAGATCAGAGGTTCTACTCCTGGCTCCTCTACTTACCAGCTGTGTGACTCGGAATAAGTTGCTTAACTGTCCAAGCCTGTTTCCTCATCAATACAGGAAGAATCAGATCTCAGTAATGTACACACAAGGCTTAGCACAGCGCCTGACATGCAGTCAGCCTTCAGCAGTAGTAGCTACCATCACCTTCTCCACTACCCTGGGCTACAGGTGGCACTGTCATTTTACAGAGGAGGAAGTTCAGGCTCAGAAAAGACAATTCACCTGTCCAAGGCCACACAGCTAGTGAGTGGCAGAGTAGGGGCTCAAACCCGGTGGACTCCAGAGGCTTTTTCAACTACGCAAGCTATGGCCACATACGACAAGGGGCGGGGTTTTACAGAGGAGAGGCTGGTGTGGCGTCCCAGGCAAAGCCCTCAAGGAGGAGCCAGGGGTTTTGGTTCCTAGCCAGGGCTCTGCCACCCAGCAGCTGTGGGACCTACCAGAGTGGATATGAAAGCATCATGCAAATTCAAAAGGGAATTTTTTTAAACGTCTAGACTAAAGACACAGGGACTTCCCAGGACTGGTGTTTCCTTGGGGTGACAATTTGGGGTCTTATGCGGGGCGCTCCACTGCTACCTCCATTCCCCCCACGAGTGAGTGGTGACATTCCAAGGTCACAAGGGGCCTGGGCTCAGAGAGGCCTCTGGGAGATGAGAGGGCCCAAGGGGGGACTTACAAGCCATGGACGCCAAGCAGCAGATCATAGTTGTCAAAGATGGTGGCTGGGGGGCCCAGGAGAAGCAGCACCAAATAGACGAGCCCCAGGACAACGATCATGGCCAACTTCCCAATGCTACTGATGTGCAAGAAGACAGAGCTGGCCAACAGACTCAGCAGCACGTTCCCGATGAAGTACTGGGGGCGACAGCAGAGGCAGTGTTGGGGGAAGGCAGAAAATGATGTGCCCCTGTGCAGAGAGCCCTACACTCCCCTGCCTGACCCAGGCTCCCCTGCACGACCCCAAACCTGAACCCCTCCACCCTCCACAGTCAGCCACTATGGCACACAAGGGTCCCGGCCGCTCTGGTTGCTCCGAGAGTTGGCAACTGTGGTGAGGCCCTGGGTCTCCAGTGCCCATCAGTGGGCCTGGCACAGGGGGGTCAATAACTGGTGCTGATCAGGAGCCCCGCCCCCCACCCTGCCTGAACACTGCTTGGACACCTCGGGGAAGCTGCAGCTGGGCGCGGTGCCCTCACACAGGGGAGCATCCAGGCCCAGAGAGTAATTGAGCTGCTGCAGGTGGCAGGCGGTGATGTCGGCAGGTGTTAAATTCAGCATCTGGGCTGCGCAGGTCCGAATGGGGGTGTGATTACAGGTGAACTGCAGAGGTGAGGAGAGGTATATCAGAGTAACCAAGGAAGGGAGGGGTTACAAAGGCCATGCCCAGGCACCTGACACCCCAGGAGCCCCAGTTCTCACTGAGGGATGACAAGAGGTGGGGGAATCAAGGAGGAAGGAAGACTGGAGTTGACTTCACCCCCTTTTCGGGGAGAACCGGCTCCCTGCAGGCAGGAAATGTGCCTTTCTCAGCTCTGTACCCCGGCACCCAGAGCAGTGCTTGACACACGGGAGGGATGGACCTTTACCATGTTGGCAATGGCAGAGGTGAACACAAGCAGGACCGAAAAGATGCCAACCGCCGTGCTGTGGGCCCTGGAGCGGACAATGCTGCGTGACAGCCGTTGCAGGGCCTCAGGGAAAAGCTGGAGATGGGCGAGAGATGAGCTGGAGGCGGAATCGGCCAGGGGCTAAGACCAGCCTCCCCGCCCCACATGCCCAGGCCAGACCCAGCCTGCCCTCCTGCAGAGGTCCTGGAAGGCCCCTACTCACAGAGCCACAGGAGTACAGGGCGCAGGTCAGCACAGTGATCAGCAGCAGCAGGAAGGTCGCAGCATAGATCCCAAGCATCAGCGTTGAGCTGGGGCAGAAGAGGGCCCGAGAAAATGTTACTCTGGAAAACCTGGGTGGCCTTGTCCAGCTCCCCACTCCCCAGAAGGGCAGGGCTCAGGCTCCAGGGACTGTGGGCTTATGTGGGTGTTTAGAAAGGTCCTTGGAAGTGCTGGAAGGAAGAGAGGCTGAGCAAGGAGGGGCAGGGCTCTCACTGTGGGAAGACGAGGAGCTGGATGAAGCAGATGAAGCAGAAGACCAACAGGGCACAGGCCACGTAAGCTCCAAAACGGGGATCCACCTTCCGTGAGTACTGAGGGAGAGGAAGCTGAGCTGCACTGGGCTTTGCCCTGGGGAGGCAAGAGCTGCCGGGGCCTCAGGGGGAGAAACAGTTGGCCGGATGGATAGGAATCCCCAATGCGCCCTGTGGTCACTGCCCCATTGCCCCCAAACCCTCTCCCATTCCCTCACCTGTGCTCAGACTTCCCTGCCTGGACCCACCTCCTCCCCTGGCCCTGCTCCTTCTGCCCAGGCATCCTCCAAACCTTCTTTTCAAGATCTTCTCTCTGGAAGGTGAGCAAGAACCGGCGCACGTGGTCCTTGCGCAGCTGGTCGATGCTGCGGGCATCGATGGCACGGCCCAGGAATTCGTCCACCTCATCCTCGGGATTCAGGGCATCTTGCGCGCCCCGGCTGAGGGCAGAGGACATGGCTTCACCAGGCACATGAGCACAGCCAAGTAAGAGGAATGAGAAGGGAAGGGTGTGGGCAGCACCCGAAGAGAGAAGCAGAGCAAGACCGTCTCCCATGTAACACATCTCAGGTCCAGGAGAAGTGGGGAACTCTGCCCCCCACAACCCTATCCCAGTTGCAAATGCCTGCACACCCTCTTTTCCCCCCTCAGGAACCCGACTTACTTGTCTTTGCTGGAATCATCAATGCCCTAGAGAAAGGGACAGAGTGTGCGAGTGAGGTGAAAGCAGTCTGCCCTGCTCCCCCACCCCGACCCTGTGCTCCGACGAAAAGAAGGCATTCACAGAGATGGCAGCCACAAGGAAGGCAGAAGAGGGAAGGGGGACACAGAGCATTAAGGGAGACAAGAACTTGAGACGCAGGTCCCGGGGCTGTGGGCTCTCACCATCTGGCGGAAAGCCTTGGAGTCCTTGGTCCGGGAGAAGGCGCGGTCGGGCACCCAGCGCGGCACCAGCCCTTCCATGGAGTTGGCCCGGGTCCGCTGCAGCTTGGCCAGCATGGCCTTCTCCTCCTTCTGTGTGGACAGCATGGGTACAGGCTCAGAAAAGGGGCCCGGAGGAGGCCTCTTCCTGCAACCCTCTCTCGTCCTTCTCCCAGCCTGTCCCTCCCCTCACCCACCCTGACCCGCCCTGGCCTGACCCGTTTCTGGCTGGTGCCCAGAATGAGGAAGGTCTCAATGTGCTGCTCCTTGAGGTAGGCGTTGCGCTCGCCGCCATGGCCCGGCTCCACCTCGTAGTCCCCGTTCAGGTACTGCAGAGTGGCCCGAGTAATGTGGATGCGACTGCAGGGCACAGCAGAGTGAGACCTGGGCTCTCCCACAGGGCTCCCACCCTCACCGCCCAGACCCCACGCTCACCCGGCTCGGCCCCCCGCCTCCATGTGGTTGGCCAGAGTCACGTCATTGGACCACACATCGAACTGCCATTTCCGCAAGCCAAGGACACCGCAGTGCACGCGCCCGCTGTGGATGCCCACGCGCATGTTCACGTTCACACCTGTCACCTCGCGCACCAGCCTGGGAGGAGGCAGCTTCGGCTCAGCTCCGGGCACGGTCTTCCCCATTTCCAACCGAGAGCCCTGGCCCTCCACTCCCCCTGGAGCCAGGTGGGCAAGGACAGACCCACAGGCAGGAACAGGAGCACAGCCTTGGCTGGATGTGGGCAGAAGGCCACATGGTGCTCCAGGACAAATGTTCAAGGACCGTGTCTGCCCACAGGGCCCCAAGGCATCTGTGGGACTGAGCCAGGAGCGGAGGCGTGGCTCTTCTCCCCACGGGCCTGTTCAGCGGGCCTTCTCTCCAGCCCTTGACCCGGGCTGCCCTCACCCCATTCCCACTGGCTGCAGGCTCAGGTACGCAGGGGCTTTACAGGGGCTGAGGAAAGATCCATCCTCTTCCCCAGTGACAGGTCTCGAAGACAAAGAAATTGGCCAATACTAAGGAAAGACACCAAGGACATATGGAAGAGCCGGAGCACTGTGAGGCACCCTCAGTTCTAGGAAGCCTACCGGGGGGAGCAATGCTTACGAGATGGCCTCAATCATGTCCACCCCCATCTCCACACAGCAGTGGGCGTGGTCTGCCCGGGCCTCCGGCAGCCCTGACACGCAGTAGTAACAGTCCCCTAAGATCTTGATCCGCAAGCAGTGGTTTTCCTGAGGGGAGAGAGTTGGGGGAGAATCACCTCACTCTCTTGCCCACCCTACCTGGCCCACCACCTTCACTGCTGACTCCATCTGCCCCCAACCGCCCAGCTGCCACACTGAGGCTGGGCCCCCAAGCCCCAGCACCCTTACCGCGGCCAGCTTGTCAAATCGGGCAAAGAGCTCATTCAGGGTCATGACCAGCTCCTGTGCGGTGCACTGGGACGCTAGGCTGGTGAAACCCTCAATGTCTGCAAACAGGATGCTGTGGACGATGGCAGGAGATGGAAGGTGTCACGTGGCCTTCGAAGACTCCCAGATCCTGCACTTTCCCTGGCACCCTCCCGCCCCACCATACCTGACATTGTCGTGCTTCTGGATGTAGATCTTGTGGAACATCATGTCTTCTTTCTTCGTGTTGATGTCTTCTTTCATCTCCATGGCAACGTGCTGGGGCAACACGGACAGCAGCAGCCTCTCCTAGACCAGTGGTTTCAATAGGGCATCGCTGTTCTCTTGTCACGTTTCAGTCCCTCCTGGCGCCTCCACATCCCCAGAGCCCTCCCAGACCTTCCTGGAGATCTGAGCCTCCCTTCTGGACTATGGCCTGACCCTCCTCCACTACAGCGCTCAGCAGGTGGACATCCCACTTGTCTCTGACCAACTCCTATTCAACCGCCTCTCAGAGGTGCTCCCACCTCAGTCAGGACAGAAACACCACTGTCACAGGGCCTCCAAGACACTCAACCAAGGAACTGTTCTCCCTGATTCTGTGGAGCTGTAGGAGGCTGCAGATCCAACCTGCACGTTATTTGGGGCGAGGTGGGGGAAAGCCACCTCAGGGAGAGCAGCCCACCTGCTGCCGATTCTCATGCTGCAGGTGCAGCCGGGCTTGGATGTAACCACGAGTCTCCTGAAAGGCCTGGCGCTGAGACACCTCCGCTGGGTAGTGCGTGCAGATGCCGATGACATTGGTGCAGAGAAACAGCAGCATGTTGGCACCGAGCTGCAGGAGGTGGCAGAGGTGGACGGTGACCACCCTGCCCATGCACAGGCACGACTAGCCAGATTTCTGTAGATGAACTCCTTTGCAGAGGATGCCAGGATCCTGCACCATCAGTCCCCAACTGTCCCCGCCCCTGCAGTATACCTACCCTACACCACCCCCCAAGACTCTAGCTCCCTTCCTGGATCACTCCGAGGCTAGAAGTGAGATCTTCTCACAGCTCCTGGGAGCAGAAGCACCAACCAGGCCCAGGCGGGTCACAGGCCTGTGCCTAGCACACTATGGCTTCCTGCCCCACAAACACCTGAGACCAAAGACAAATGCTGCTGTTTCTGTGTGCGGCTCTCCTTGCAGGTCAGTGCCCCAGAGACCTGGGCTCTCCGTCCTCCAGTGAGTGCCCAGGACAAACCATCTCATCTCTGGGACTCTGTCTGCTCATAGAGAACCTGGAGAGGAAGCACAGGAAGATCTCCAGGGCCCCTCCCTACCCTATTATATTAATAGATATAATTATTATTATTATTACTATTACTGGAGCCAATTTGTTTGTTGCCTACAAGGTATCTAGATTCCATACACACATCTTCTATAAATTAACAAATATATTTCTTACAACTCTATGAAATAAGTAACACTGTATCTCATTTTAAAGGTGAGGGACTCAGGCCCAGAGAAGCTAAGTAACTTGCCCAAGATCACACAGCTAGCAGTGACTGGTGTGGGACTTGAGTCCAGGACAGTCAGACTCCAAACTGTCAGTTTTGACCCTACTGTACAGTACATTCCAGGTGTCCGAGGTTCCCATTCACTCCACTTACCCAAGGTCTTGAGGCCCCGCCTTGGAGCCCAGGCTGGGGAGTCATCGATTCTACAGACACAAAGAACCCTTCCTAACTGGGCTAGGGTGCCACCACACCCAGGCACCCCAACACTCGGCCCAGCCAGGCCCCGAGACCTGGGACCCTGATCCCACAATATGTTCAGCCCTGATTCAGCATCAGCATCCGCATCCCACTAACTGGAGAACAAGTTTAAAGGGAACCAGCCTCAGGGCTTCTGGAAATCCAGGGGTTAACCTGGCATTTGTGGCTCCACCCAAGTTGGCTGGGGCAGGGCTCTGGTTTGGGGAGAAGGGAGGGAAAGAGCACCAACTGGAAGCCAGGAGTTCTGGGCTCTGCCCACAAGCATAACTAGTCCTGCGAACTGGGCAGGTCAGTTTACCTCTGGGACCTCAGCTTCGCTTTTCCTGGGTAAGACGGAGGGGTCTGGCTGACCCCGGAGCCATATCCAGCTCTGACCCTCCAGCACTGGCCTCCCGGTCTCCCTTCCAAGTCCAGCTCACAAGGCCCCCCTCCCAGCAGCAGGGGTGAAAAGGGGGGTACACTATCTCCCTCAGGGGTTTCTAAGAATAGCCCCCAGTGGGGGAGAAGGAAAGGGGGGGCAAACCAAGCAACTTCCCTTCCTGGCCTCAGGAGCCCAAGAGGAAAATGTGAGTCATGGTAGAGGGAAGGGGAAGGGGGCCGAGAGACTGAAATAGATCTGTACACAGACCCCTATCGGACTGTGAGAAAAAAATGGACAGCAGGGCACTGTAGGAGCCTCCAGGCTGAGCAGAATTAACTGAGCGAAACTCTCAGTGTGTCTGAATGAGTGGAGACTAACGGCTCCTTCCTGTGAGTGTGAGTGAGGCTGGATCTGGGAAGGGGCTGCCCATGGAGCCTAGAGAGGAGGCCACGTCGCCACCCCACCCAGAACCCAGCTGGGCCCCGGGCAGGGGCGGTTTGCTCAGAGAGGAGGCAGGGGCGCCCTGGCCCTGGAGACCAGCACAGGGGCAGGTCCGACCTTCTCTACTCATCCCAAGAACGAGCCTGCTGGGACCCACTGGGTGAGGCTGCAGCCAGGCGTCCCTGGGGAGGCAGGAGGCTGGCAGGGCCCTGGTCTCCATGGGACTGTACCTCCCAGTCAGGCACTAGGCCTGGTTCTAGGCACCACGCCAACTGAGGGCAGGGAAGAGACACCCGCCCAGCCCGGGCCAGCTGGAGAGGATCGGGGTACAGGGGAGGCACCACCTCCAAGCTCTTCCTTCCCCAGAAGGGCAGTCCAAGTTCAAAGCCCAGTTGGACAGCTACCCTGGAGTGGAGTGGGGGGCTAGCCAGGGCAGAAGAACCTGGCCCTTTAAGAGGTCTGACAGCGCCCTGCAGGCACATGCTTCACAAACAAAAGGGCTATAAAGTTACTTCTAAAGAAGTACATTCTGTTCCGGGAGCACAGGCTAGGCAGGGAAGGGCATCAGGCCAGAGCACCCAGCTTCTCACTCTGGGAGCCCCAGGTAACTTCTTCTTTGTGGGTGGGGCAAGGGTGAACTACAGGCCACGAGCCCTGGAAAAGGCAGAGGCTGGCTCCCTGAAACCTTGAGCAAGACAGGGGATGGCATCCTCTAAACCAAGGCTCCGATGGCAGGATCATGAGGTGTGCTGGTTGGGGTCCGTGCCTACAGCAGCCCCCGAAGGGTCGCCTGGGCAAGGCAGCCTGGCTCAGCTACCTGAGCCGGGGACAGCATGAGGTGGCAGACTCCACAAGCTGATGTCTCTCAGAAAGGAAGTTCCCACGTGCCCTTCAGTGGGCATCAACCCCTACACATTCCACACACCTCCCTGCTTAGGTGAGACAGCTGCCCTGCCCTGTCGGTTAGATTTGCCATGAGAGAGGGTGGGGCCCTAACAGCAACATCCTGAGGTAGATACTATTTTTATCCTAGTTTTATAGACTGGGAAACTAAGGCTGGGAGAGGCGAGGCCAGTCGTTTAGGGTCTCACGGGGGAGAACAGCTCACGGGACAGCCAGGTGCTCCTGCAGCCAAGCCTTTGTTTCTCACTCAACGCCACTCTGCCAAGCCCCTCCTCACACACTGCTCAGGCCTCAGAGGCGGCCCAGCCCAGGCAGAGGAACTTCAGGCAGGGCTGCCAGACCTCTGGTGCCCAGTGGGCGAGGGCAGGATGAGATCAGATCCTCCCTGACACCCCTCTTCTACGGTCTAACCCCACTCAAAGCACTTCCCGCCCAGGAGAGAACGGACCCCACTCCTCACCTTCCCTGCCCTCTCAAAGATACCTGTGGTCCAGGAGAGAGGCCACCTCTCCCTGCTAACTCCATCTAAAACCTGCTCCGTCCCTCCAGATCACCACCTAGAGCTACTTTTCAGGCACCAGGGCCTGAGTCCCAAATATCAACTTGGGGCCAGACTTGTCGAGGCCTGGATGGTGGCCAACACTGTCCTCTGGGCCTGAACACCACAGGGCCACCTCCAGCCCTACATTATGTCACTATAGGCGACACTACACTATTTTAAGAGCCTCAGGCCAAAGAGCTGGAGACTGTGGCTCATGGTGAGGATACAGGCTTGGGTCCCGGAGGTCTCCCTCCCGTCAACAGTGTCCTCTGGCCCAGACCCCAAGTGGAGGCCAGGCCCCAAACTTGGGCCTCCCATCACTTGCCCCTCCTCCCAGGCACAGCACTAAGTATCCTCGCACGGCCCAGTCACCACGAACTATCAGACCCGCCTCATTGCCAGTCTGGTGCCCCCATGCCCCCCGCCCTAAGCACCCACCTGCTTCCAGAGGAAGGCATCACCACGGTTGAGTTGCCAGGCCAAGATCAAATGCAGGGTGGAAAGGCCCAGGCCACTGAAGACAGCTGCCCGCATGCGGATGGGGAGGAGCGTGTAGGTGATGTAGACAAAGAACAGGGGGCACCAAAGGCCTGTGGATGGACTGTGGGGGTTGGCTGCCAGGGCGCCCCCAACCTGAACAGCTGCCAGGATGCCCAGCACCACGTAGCTCACCACCCACATGGAGTCCTGGCGGAAGCTGTGCCGGTTACACACCACCATGAGCACCACGAAGAGGATGGCGGCGCAGGCCAGCAGGGCCACATAGGCAGTCTGCGGGCGGGCCGGTGCGGCGTGGAAGGCCAGCAGCACAGCCATGAGCAGCACGAGCACCGCCATCAGCAGCGTGAGGCTGCTCTGGTTCATCTGGAAGAAGTACCGCTGGTACAGGCGCTCCAGCTTGGCGGAGCGGAACTGCTTGGACTGGAACACCTGCACCAGACGGCGCCAGCAGGATCGCCCGCTTCTGGGTGCTGCATCGGGCGACGCCTCAGCCACCCCACCTGCTGTTGCTGTCTCAGTGTCCTCAAAGCCCAGGGCCACAGCCCGCAGCCCCAGCTCAGTGCCCTTGCCCGGGCCGCCCCTCCGGATGAAGGCCTCGTCCTGCCAGGGGCACCGAGGTGGGGCGGCAGGAGTGGGGCTGGGCGGCTGTGCGTCCTGGAGGCAGCTCATGTAGCGGGGCGCACAGAAGCCACTGGTCTGGGTCCTGTGACGAGGGCGCTTCTGCCCATTGCGTTCACCCCAGGCTGTCTTGCGTTCATCCACTTTGGGGACCAGAAGGCCACTGAACCATGACATGCTGCAGGCAGGAAAGGAATGAGAGGGTATCAATGCCACCACCACGGCTTGCCACCACTAGCAGCTATTATTAACTGAGCACTTCCCATTGCCAAGTTTAGCACTTCAGACACATCACCCTCATAAAATGACTCTGTGGAAGACAACGGTATCCCCACCAAACAGTTAAGGAAATTGAGACAGAGGGAGGTGAGGTAACCTGCCCGCCATCAAGCAGCCACATGGGTGTGAGGACCCAGATTCTCACCCAGGTATCTGATTCCTAAGCAGCAAACTCAAACACTCACCTCTCCCCTAAAAAGCACTGGTGATTTCTTGGTGCTTACAAACCCAAGTGCCCGCACCAATGAGCAAAGCCATTGGTCTGGGGGAGTGCACACCCTGGCACAGAGGCAAACACCAGCCCCGATGAGGAAATTGTTGGCCCTGGCATCCCAGTGGGGCCTGTTCTGATTTTTCAACAGAGGCTGAAAACAAATACGCAGATTTTAACGAGACAGCTCCTGATTTTTAAATGTTGGCAAGTCATTCACAAATTTCAACGCTGCAAGCCAAATAAATTGAGTCTATGGAATGGATCTGGCCTGTCAGCTGCCAGTTGGTGACCTCTGTACAAAAGGGAATCTTTCCACATCCTTCCCCATCACGCTCACACACACACTCACACAACTCACACTCCACTCCACTAACTTCGACTTCTCCCCCAGGTCACAGCTTACATGGAACTTCCTCAGGAAAGATGTCCCAGCTAAGTTTGGTCCCCTGTTTACCCTCCCTACATTTCCTCCACGGGACTTATCACAATTATAATTAAATCATCCTTTGTTTAATGTGTCTCTGCCCTTCTGACTATATATAGATTGTATCTATTTGGCTCAGTGCTTTACCCTCAGCACCAAGCACTAAACTTGGCTCCTAGTAGGGAATCAATAAATTTATGTTGAGAAGATAGAAAGCTCAAGGGCTTTGGAATAGAGCACCATACATGAAATAATAATAATAATAATAATGGCGATCCTATGATTCTTCATCTTTCTCACTGCACTACGGCCCTCCCAGCCTCTGCGCTGGCCCCCAGTACACCATGCGCAGCCTGAGACCTTGCTGCGTGCTGCTCCCTCCACCTGGAACACGAGTTCCTCCAGGTCACAGCTCAAATGCCCCCTTATCGTGAGCTTTCCCTGGCGACTCTATGAAAATAGCCACCCCTATCCTGGAGCTCCTATCTCTCTTCCTAGTATTTTGCTTTATTTTTCTCCACAGCACTCATCGACAACAGCCATTCGGTGTATTATTCTTATTTGCTCATTGTCTGCATCTCCTAACTGGAATGTCAACTTCCTGAAGGCAAGGATTTTGGCCTGTGTTGCTCACTGCAACCTTCCCAGGGTCTAAATAAATGCTCGTCGAGCAAATGGATGGGCGGATGGGTGGATAATACTGCCATGCATTTCTCTGTGCTGTCATCTTTGGAGGTCCTTTCACATGCCCAGCTCCATCTGATGTTTACCCCAAAACCCTGTGAAGCACCTGAGGCACAGGACAGATTGGACAGGAGAACAAAACCGAACGGAGGCCCACTGCAGTTTTACACGGCTGGCCCGAGTTACGGATGTTGCGAGTAACCACATCTGCCCCGGAGCTCAGGGCCTCTGGAGTGAAGCGCCTTAACCCGTGCGAGGCTCCCCGACACCAACCTCACTGTGCCTCCTAGCTAAGCCCAGCTCCAGAGACGTCATACTGGATGCCTGTGTCCCCACCCAGGCTACCCTGCTCCATGCCCACAGGGCACCCTGAGGGGCTCCTTATATAACTGTACTTTTATCTACAGTTAGCAGCACTGACATTTGTACTCACTAGGGGACAAGGGGAGACTACCCAGTGCTCGCCCTAGGTGGTCACAGGACCATTTGGCCAGACACGGGAGCGATGTTCCAAGCAGCCACGCAGGGGCTCGTGGAGTGGAACGCACACTGGGATCTCTCTGCACGGAGAAAACCCCCACGCCTGGTTCGCCCTCAGCCGAGTTTTCCCGGCATCCCTTCTCCTATGTCCCACAGAGCAGCTGGCCCTTCAGACTCCTTAATATGAACGACACCATATGGGGAGGGAAGATCAGGAACCCAAGACTCTGACCAGGCTGCCATTCGCAAAAAGGTCACCAAAGAAAGCTGGGCTCTTCAAAATACTTGATTAGAAGCATGGTCTTTAGAGAGAGACCAGGTTTCAAACCTTACTGTGAGTATCTGTTATCTTCAGAACCTGGGACAAGTGACTTAACCTCCCGGAGCCCGTCACCTCACCTGTGACGTGGGAAGAGCGATCATCGTGAGGAAAGGCTAACAGAACCTGTCACATGCTACACACTCAGCAGTTCTCCCACCCGCACCACTCTGACCCCAAAACTCTGCTGGTATCCAAGAGACCGAAAGACAGAAAAGTCACGAGCAAGACACCTGCCTCCCCAGCCAGTCAGACGCCTGGTCCTATCAGTCCCTGTGCCCTGGCTGTCAGTGTCCAGAGCTGCTGGAGACAGAGCCCAGTGTGCACAGATTTCCCACTCCACCCCAGGACATTTTGCCTCAGCCTCCCCCACTTACCAGGCCCCTGACCTGTTACTGCCCCAGCCAGCACCACTGGCCCAGACCTCTGTTCCCAAAGGACCTGCTTCTGGCCGTGTTCCCAGTTCCCTGGAAGCACATCCTAGCATCTGGCTCGTACCCACAGAGGAAAGGGCAGACGCGGTCCACGGGACCACATGACCCTCCCAAGAATACTCAGACTCCCACACAGGGACAGCTTCAGAGCTCTGTAATTGTCCAACCAACTATGACCATCCCATCCCAGGCTCCACTCCAGGCAGGGTCCATCTTGGAGAACTCACCCCATAACCTGCTGATATGGCAGTGGACAGGGGAGGGCACTGTTCAATGCCACAAAACCTCCCTTGATGGTCCTCCAACCCTCCTTGTCTAGGAACCCACCACTGTGAACCACAGACCACCTCCCTCTTCCCAAGACAGACTCCCAAGCTTGTGCCAATGGTCTCCTCCTCCCCTGGCCTCCTGTACCTTCACTCTGAACAGATCTGCTGCTCCAGGCACCATGGGCTCCCACAGCCAGAGCCACGTCCATTTGGCCTGGCAGACTGAGGCCCAGGGCCCCCCATACCTCAAGTCTCTTCCAAACCCTGCTCGTCCAGCCAGAAACCCAAAGTCTGAAGCAGGCCCAGGCCCAGCCACACTTTGGCTCTGTCCACCGCTTTGCCCAACCCCTCTCCAGAGCTCCTCTGCCCCTGCCCTCTTTGGCAAAAAAGAGGCTGCAGGGGGGTTAATACAACTTCAGAAAAGTTCATGGCAGAAGGCACTGCCCAAGCAGGGCCCTCCCATGCCAGCACCACCCACCATGCTGGGACATGGGCCTCAATTCCAGGCCTTTCCAGATGTACAGGAGCCTCCCCAGGGCCTGTATCTGGAGGTTCAACATTACCTTCTCCTTGGTCCACCCCAACCACAGAAGCCCCATCAGGCTGCTTCACCTCGGAAGGGACACTCTGGAAAGGGAAGGTATGAGGAAAGAGTCCCACCGCCTCATCCACTCTAGCTTTGCAGTTAAGGCCCCAGAGCCGGCTATTCAGTCTGCCCCGCTGCTCACCCTGCAGGGGCCCGGACAGCACCCCTCCCTTTCATTCCCAGGGGCTGCGCGGGGAGAGGACGGGGACTCCTGCAGACAGATGCATCCCTCCCTCCGCCGAGGCTGCCTTACCTTTCCCGAGACACAAATCACACTCCACCCCAAATTTGGAGGCTCGCCCCACTGCAAAAACCTCAAGACAGCGCAACCCGAAGTGCACGCCTTTCCCTGGGGTAGGGGTCAGTGCCAGGCGAGAATCTGCTCGGAGTGGAGGAGCGACCGGTGCGGCGGCGACTGAGGGCCGGGAGCCTTGAGCCCCCACCTCCGCCCGGACCGCCCTGGGCCAGCCCGGGTGGCCTCGGGCTTCCCCCTAGACACTCTCAAGAATCCCCATCCCCGCTTCCGCGCCCCACCGAGGAACTCCGGGAGTCGGGAGGGAGTGCTCCAGCCGCGCCGAACGCCCGCTGCCCACTCCCTGGGCGCGTCTCACCTGCCGGCCAGGGTCGGCGCCTCCCCGGAGCCCCCGCCCCGCCGCCCCAGCGGGCTCCGGCCGGCCGTGCGGCCGCCCCGCGGTCCTGCTCCGCGCCCGCGCGTCCCGGCCGTCCCTCGCGCCGTCCGCCGCCCGCACGGCCCGCGCCCCCTCCCTGCTGTCCAGCGCAGCCGCCCTCTACCCCGGATCCAGAAGTCCCCTCCCCGCCGGCTCTCGGACTGCGCGCCTTAAAGGCACAAGCTCCTTTTGTCTGGGCACCCCTCCCCCTCCCCAGACGCGCGGCGGGGCGGCCCACTGCTCTCCCCAGGAACAGGGCAAGGGTGGGGGAGACTAAAGGAGGCCACCCCTCCCTCTATACGCCCCCTCCTCTCCTCCGGCAGCTCCCTCCCCCAGTCTTGGCGAAAACAAGCGGCCACTGTTCTGGGAGCGAGACCCTGGGGGGAGGGGGCCGTCCACCCGGCTCCCAGCTCCCTCCCTCCCTCCTTCCTCCCCGCCCCGGACTGCATTCTCCAGCCTTCCCCTCCCACCTTTGCCCCTGGGGTCTCCCAGCGCGCCGGGTTCTACCCGCGCGCCGCAATTACCCGGGCGGGGCACGCGGAGAGTCTTCTTCCTTCCCAGCCGGGACCCCTGGGGCTGATCCGGTGCCTAGCGCCCACCCCTCACCCTTCACCCCTCACCCCTCCCTTCCCCCACCCCCCGCTCTGCCATCTACGGCCCTGCTCCCTCCCTCGGGAACTCTGTTTAATAATTAATTAAGATTTCATTCCACAAGGCGCCAGGTGTGTGCCGCCTGCTTCCCCACGCACCCCTTTTTTCCTCCTCCCCCAGCTCTCTGGGGCATCAGCCGCGACGCGAACTCACCGCACCCAGAGCCCAGAAGGGGGACTGAGGGAAGGGGCACTCTCCACCCTACCCGCGGCCCCACAGTCTCTGGGGACTTCTCCCGGGCACTTGCCACCTCGCACAGCCCTCCCCCGGCACCTTTTTACGGAAAGGGTAGTAGTGCTTCTCTGCTGAGGTGGGGGTGAAGGGGGACGCATTGCTGAGCGCACGAACGGAAAGTTGTTTGGGACTTTAAATCCCACGTTTCCAAGCACGGAGGGGCAATCCAAGCTACCTGGGTGATGGGACAATCTCTTGGAAGCTGCTTTAACCCTCTGAGGGTTACACCAGAAAGGGGAAAAGGGCTAATTCCCAGGATGTAGGTGAGTCTGACTCGTCAGAGTGGATGCCATGTCTCCAGAGCTGGGGAGCGGGCAGCTTGCCCGGCACCCCTTGAGGATCACCTCTGCCCTCTCAACCAGGCCCGTACCTCCTCCCCTTTGGCAGCCCCTTCCCTACCTAAGGTCTTACAACCTACACATCTCAAGCTGCTCCCTCCTCAGACACCGCCTACATTCTTGTCCTTCAAGGCCCAACTCTTGCCCAAGCCCCATCCCCACTGGAATTACTAAGCCCAGGACAGAGCTTGAGGCAAGGAACAGAGGGAAAAAATTGAGAAAATGAATTTCCATTACTTATCAGGCATATACAATTGCATACTGTATACCCTGGGTAAAACCGTCACTTACTCTCTTGGAGACTCATCTATAAAATGGGGCTGAGACTACTGCCTTGGCTTTCTTACAGGATTTTGATGATCAGCTAGAAAAGTGTTGGTTAAAATGTTTAGAAATGAGATAGGGACCGTTTATCTCAAAAGCCTGGCTTGTAATTTGACCTTTGGGGTTTTGTTTTTTTTTGTTTGTTTTTTTTGGGGGGGGCCTGACTTCGTCCTTGGAGTAGCCAGTGCTCTCGCCACTATTAAAATTTCCTCTCCAACCTGAATCTAGTATCTGCCAGTTACCTCTCAGAATAATATGCTTATGGGGGAAATGTAAAGGACAATTCAGGAAAACAAAGGTGTGCATTGTGAAGTTTTATATTTTGGAATGGACAGCTTTGTCCTTTGTTGTATTTCGGAATGAAAAACAAATTTGGACACCAACCAGGTAAGCTGGAGAAATATTTTAAGGGTCCACCTCTGGGCTTTAAGTCACACTGGTGTGTTAGTCCTGCCTCCTGGAGGCCATTTCCGGTTACAGAAGGACACAGCCACCTTCTACACCTTGCACAGAAGGTCTGTGTCTACCACTACAGACTGTGCAGGTCTTAAACATGATTCTAGTCTCTTGCGTCATAGATAGTGCTAGGCACATTAGAAATAATCATTTACTCTTTACATGTATAGGATATTAGGGCAGAAGGGATCATAAAAATGGTCTAATTCAGCTGCTCTACTTTTAGTCACTATAATAGGAAGCACTTATATAGCATATCGTGTATGCCAACTACTCTTCTAAGCCCTTCTGATTCTCAGAACAACTTCGTGATCCCGTTATCATCATCCTCACCTTAGAGATGTGAAAGGTGAGGCACAGAGAGGTTCGATCGCTTCTCTAAGGTCAGAGAGGAACTAGTAGATCCAGATTTTGAACGCCTGCAGTCTCGCTTCAGAGTCTGTGTTCATAACCACGATGCTGCACTAACTACAGAAAACCGAGCCCCTGTGATGGGAAGTGACGTGCCCAGGCCACACAGCTGGTTGGGAATAACAGAAGTAGGAGCAAGACTCACAGCCACTGACCCCCACTCATTGCTCTCTCCACTCTGCCTCACTATGACATATCCGTGCATATCACAGACACAGAGAGTGCCAGGCCTTCCCTGTGACTCCTCGGGAGCACGGATGTTCTGCTGCTGGTGGGTAGGCTTTATCCACATTCCATGCGGACGTTCAGAAAGAACCTCCTTATCCCAGGATGGAAGAGAAACAGCAAGGCAGGGATCAATGGGAAGGTTTTCAGTCTGACCAAAAAGAAGAAAAGAAGAGAGGGAGAGGCAGTGGGCACGAACTGTTTCTATTTCTCCAACTCTGACTTGGTCTCAAATGAACAGGTTATTTTCTCTAATACAGACCACAGTCACAGAGTGATGTACTCTCAACGTCTCGTTTTCCGGAAGAGGAAATTCCTACAAGGACAGGGGACTGTATGTAAATGCAAGTTCCATATAGCCATAAGTGTATCTGGACCGCACTCTGAAATATCTAGCCTTGGAAACACCCTGTAATGTAGCAGATGGACGGGCTTGAGTCTCCTGAGCCTCATTTGGGAAACAGCTAAGTGAGCCTCTGCCTACTCCCTTTTACAAAGCAAGGATTCCTTTTACAGTGCACATAACCATTCCCTAACTTTTCTTTCTTAAAGATCAGATTTCTGCCAATTACATTTTCTGAAAGTAAGAACGATGTGTAAGACAGCCCACATTCATTCAATCCAGCAAATACACCCTGTCTACTTCACCACCCCTAACATGACCGCTGCTCCCACTGCCGCCCAGGGACTCTTGGCTTCCTCTGGGCCCCAGGGGTGGAGGAAGCCTTGGCCACCACCAGCCTCACAGCCACTTACACCCGCAGCAATGGAACCACTGACTAAACTCCAGAGGGATACAAACTTCCCTCCTTGTTCCTTGGTTCCACATCCATTCTGTCCACAAATATTCATAAGTAGTTGAATATTCATGAATGTGCCTACTACATTCCAGGTACTGTTCTATTAATAGGTGCTCGGGATGCAGAAATTGAACACAGACAGGCCCCCTAGTCTGTTGGGGTGATAGTTGATGGTGACAAGTGCAATGATGACAATTAGAAATGAGGATGGATAGAAAGTGACTGGGAGAGAAACACAGGCTGGGTTGTCCAAAGGCCTCTCTGAGGAAGTGACATTTACGTAGAGACCTAAATGACAAGGAATCAGTCATGCAAAGAATCTGAGTAAAGAGCATACCAGGCAGAAAGGACAGTTCATGCAAAAGTCCTAAAGCAACAGGAAGCTCACCGTGTTCCAAGAAAGAGAAAGTCCAGGAGGCTGAAGCCTTGTGTGCCGCAGGAAGCAAGTACAAGGTGAGGCCAGAGAGGGGGGCATGCCCTAGAGCACCGCTCACAGGCCGGGGTAAGGAAGGGATTTGGATTTCATTCAAAGTGTGATGAAAAGGCTTCGGAAGATGTTAAGCTCCGAAGTTACATGATCTGGTGTATAGTTTTAAAAGATCATGTTGGCTACTGGGTGGAGAGTAAATCTAGGGATCAAGAAATGCAAGAGAAACCACTTAGGAAGCTACTATAATGGTGCAGGTAGAAAGAGGTTTGACGAGGATGGTAATAGTGAACCGAGAAGTGGAAGGACTTGGGAAATATTTTGGAGTTGGAGTAGCCTAATGACTGGCCTTTGTTCCCTCTGCATGGTTTATCTGTATCAAATAATTATCAAAAACTAACAAATATTTATCTAGCACCTACTATATGCCAGGCACTGTGCTAGGCACTAGAAGTTACGGTCCAGAGAAGACAGACCCCACCTCCTCCCACCCTACTGCCATAGGAAGCTCTAAGTTGGGGGAGCTCCTGCCCATCCCACCCCATTTTCAGGGCTGGAGGCACACCCTTCACCCCACCCCTGCAGTCTACTCCAGTGCTGAGCTGGGGTTGACGGGTGTCTAAGGAGTGTTTACAGCTGGAAAATTGATGCCATAAAAGTAAGAGTCCAAAGTTCTCCCAAGATCTCAGAGCAAAAACCAGGGGAGCCCAAGGGCTCCTACACTGGGGACAGCCAGGGCCACAAGGACAAATGAAACCTGTTGGTTGCCATACTACTGCTCATCCTTCTCTGGGTCCCCGGTGTTCTGCCTGCCAGAGTGCTGGTCAAGGCAGACTTCCTCCACTTTCTCTACCATTCCGTTCTCCCTGTATTTTCCCCCCAAGCTCCCTCAGTAGATTTCTGAGTCTCGTGTGCCCTCTGGTGGCACCTTCCTGACACTGCACCCCATAGTTAATCTCAGCTTTTCACTACTCAATCTACAAACTTCTCTGGCTACCTGCTCCAGGGAGCCATATGGGAAATCCTAGAAATTCTTGGGAGGGTTGAGAAGGCGATTGTGTTAAGGCAAAGGTTCACACCAGTTTCTAAGCCTTAGAAGCATGAGCCAGTCCTCCATCTATTGCCAAGCTCACCTCTTGTTTACTGGTTAAACAAACTATAATGTGCACCCATGTTTTAGGCCCAAACTTTCAGGAAAAAAAAAAATTG